GCATTTTAAGTCGTTCATCATTGTTTTCAATTATTTATAGAATTTAAAGTTGTATAAAAATAATTAATTTTTGGCATACATTTTTGATCAAGTTTAATACTATCAACCTAAGTGAGATGCAGTGTTTCTGTAAGATGAAATGGGACTATAAATCACTATTTTTATCATCATATCATTAAATTACATAAATTATACTATCCGATCAAACGTAAACTTCAGTGTAGTTACTGTATCTACTTTTTTACACTTTAAATGGGGTTGCTTGACTGTAATTGAACTACTTTAAATTGAGAGCAGCTTGTACCTTGGGAAGCTCTGTCAAAGTGGCGTCCCAGCACTCTATGACAGTTAAGACAGATTTGAATATATTTGTGAACTTTAAATGCCTGAAGGCTTTTCAGGTTTGGATAGAAACCTACATGACCCTCTGCAACCCCCCTCCAACATGCTGCGATTTTCCCCATCAGGTTTTTAACAGCATCGGAACAGGAACAGACATGTCCTCACATTTCCTTGAATTCTTTATCTGTGGAGATTCATAGGATCAGTCACATCAACGTGCAGACGGAGCTTTGTGATTAATTAAAGCCATATTCTTATATTCTAGTAAGAGGAGATGAACTCATCGGATTCATTCTTTTTCTGAGACCACTTGGTTAAAGCAGAACCCAGCAGAACAAAACGTCACCAATGGCTCTCAGGGCACGTTTTTCATTGTTCAGTACAGGTGACAAATTCTGAGTTTAGTCAGCATGTGGGTATCACAGAGCTAGCACACAGAGACCTACTCACATGGAAGGCTGAAACCCTTTAATTAACAATCAGATGGATACACACCTCGAGACACAATTTCTGACGCCTACGGTGTGGCTCGCCATTTACCTGTCAAAGACCCAGAGGAGAGAAAGAATAGACAAACCACAGCAAACACAGCATGATAATTATATGACAACCTCCCGTTGATTTTTGATCAAAGAACTCTTTTCTGCTTCTCTTTTGATGTTGCACTAATTAATAAACGATATGTACAACTGGCTTTCGCTAATAAATGAAAGACTGAATGTTAATGCGAAGAAGAGTGCATACAAAAAACAGACCTCTAGAAAGTTGCATGTACTGCAACAGTGAGCCAAGCCGAAACGGCTAACCTCAGAAATTATGGCACAAATTTGCAATAATTTCAATGTAATCTTATTTAGAAACTTTTCATAAGTCTGAAATCTATTGTGTAACACTGCTGTGCAAGTTTTTTTTTTTTTTTTAAAGTAAAAAATGTCCTTACTATACTGCAGATAAAACCAGCCAATTAGAATAGTTCAATAGTCTATCATTCATTTTGCATGTTCAGGTTTGCAGACAGGGGGTGTTGACAGCCGACAGCACCTTTAAGCAAATCTCAAACGCTTATTTTGCATTCCCCACCTCTAAAAATACTTGGCTGACTTTTGGACAACCTGTGAAGATGAGAATTGCCCGAGAGAGAGTGTGATGTTGAGTTGATCATAAGTTGGGTTCTCAGACCAGCTTCTTGTCACATCGACTAAAATTAATGGGAAAGTTATCGGTGTGACCACAGAGGGCATTCTGGGATTGCAAGTCATAAGACCACAAAGCTTGGCATATTTTCATAATTGTTCTCTCATTATTATTATTATTATTATATACAACTGGTTACTTTTTTAGTTTCAAAATGTCTTAAAATTTTTCATAACATGCATTTTGTTCAGCAAGGGTGCATTAAAATGATCAAAAGTAACACTTGTAAAATGTTAAAATCTGTTCTTTTGAACTTTCTATTCATCAAGGAATCTTGGGAAAAAGTGGTTTCCGTAAATGTTTAAAAGCAGCGCAATTGTTTTCAATATTGATAAGAAATGTTATTTGAGCACCAAAAATTAACAAATTACAATGATTTATGAAGGAAATGTGTATGAATATGAAAATTCAACTTTGCCATCACATGAATAGATTACATTTTAAAATATATTAAAATAATAAAAATTTCAAATAACTTTTTTTCACTTTTTTTTTTTTTTTTTATCTTTACAAATCTGAGCCCAAACTTCTGAGTGGGAGAGTATCTAAACATTGAATGTCATTTTTGTTGATGCATTAAAAGAAAAAGTGTCTGTTAACACAATAACATCTGGTATCACTTTTATAAGTATTTTCTTTTTTCTGTTTCATAGAATAACCCTCCTCAATTGAATAAAGATGACGGTAAAGTGACAAGAAACTGATCAAACAGCACTTGAGAGAAGAAATTGACAAATGAGAAATAAAGAGAATGGTGTAGATGAAAGATGTCTCTTATTCCACTGGTCATGAAAAAAAGCATTTTCAAAGTGCTTGAGTGGAATGTTTTCACTTGTACTGTCATCTCATGGTCATGTCCACTCTCTATTGTCTAATGTTATAACATACGATGGCTGGGAACATTCATTTGGATGAATGAAGCAGACGAAGTGGAGAAATTTGGGTGGCATCCAGCGGTCATCTTTTTGAAGAAGGACACTTGAGGACAGAATCTTCCAGAACTTAAAAAAATATATAAAGTCAGTTGTCATGTTTCAGGAGTTCATTAACATACTTGTTTTTGCATTTTTTTGTTGGTTGAATGTTAAAGGCAGGGTATGTGATTTTTCAAAAACACTTTAGAAAACTGATTCGGGCCGAATAGCAAAACAAACTTGTAGCCAATCAGCAATAAGGGGCGTGTCTACTCGTGATGTGGAGGAGAGAGCTTTCAGTGCATGGGACAGACATTAGCCGAGCTGAGCGACAGAGAGATAGAGATGGCGGATAAAAAACAAAAGAGGAAAACGTCTGCGGAAAGATAAGGCAAGAAGTAGGACCCGTGTAAAATATTGGATCAGCTTTCCAGTGCTGGAGAGAACTCAAGGAGCGGAGGCCTGCGATCGGACGCCGAGGTTGCTTTGTTTCTTCTCAATAGGTGAGTAACACCGTGTCTACAACAGCTAAAGTCTGCCTACACTGGACGCAATCAAACGACCGTTGAAAACCATTTGAAATGTGTGTCAGCACGTCATAAATGGAACCCGGCAGCAGTTTTCTGGGGGCAATATGGCCTTGTCAGTTTTCACCCAAATAATGAAATTTTTTTTTAGGTTTGACAATTTAATTCTACAGTATACAAATATAATGCATATATATTAACTAAATTAAACCAAGGTAAAAAGAAAACTATAATTTCTGATTTCAGACTGACTGGCCAAAAAAAAATAAAAAAACTCCTGACCATTTTAATGTAGCATATCAAAAAGAAACAGCGAAGATATAAGAGAACTTTTATGTTTGAATCAAACAATATAACGATTACAGGCAAATCAGCAGTGGTATCCATTCTGTATACAGTGGTCACGAGACAAAACAAACCAAAAGAAGAAAAAAAACACACACACACTCATACACATTCATCATCTCCACCTTACAAAAATGATACGAGAATAAAACCAGAAGCCCAGAAAGCAAAGCAACAGACCCTCCGCCACTATCTGAAGCCTGTGGAAAGCAAAGCATGTCTTAAGACACAGCAGCGTGGGTTTTGTAGTTTGTTGTAGCTTGTATGTAGGTGTTTTTTTTTCTTCTTTTTTTCTATAGAGAGGCACAAAATCAGGCTTCCGAGTCACAGTGAGGCTTTGAAAGAAGTGTCAGCTACTTGTGTTCAGACTTTTATATAACGCTCACATGCATACACGAACACACACATGCGCTCACAAATGACCACACGCTCATACCTGCACACCACCTTAAAATTAAAAAGAAATTGTCAAGTTTCCAATGAGAAAAACAGCAGTTACAACACATACAGAAACTGCAGAACACCTCATTACTGTTAATACATATGCACTGTGTATAATAATAATAATAAAATAATGATAATAATTATAATAATTTCCAGTTGGATTGCAATTGAAAAGAATGAGAATTTTTTGATTGGCTCAGAACAAAGAGGTCTAGATGTAGCCAACAGACTTGGATACCTTTTGCCCAAAATCACCTTGGTTTAGACGAATAACATATAAAGCACACAAGCGTTTACTCACACACACACACACACACAGTTCATGGAGGGTATGTGAAAAGCGCTCTTTTCACTTCTGGCCGTTAACGTCTGATTCAGGGACAGCTCTGTGGGCCTAGACCCACACTATAAAGACAGCATTTATAAACTGATCCGAGATTAGCCTTCAGTGACACAAATGCACCAATCAGTCTTTGCAAATTCAGGAAAAAAAGAAAGATGCTCCATTCATCCACTTTAATAACCATCACTCCTTACAGCCAACACAGAATATTGTCCTCATTTAACAAATTCAAGAAATATTTTTTGAGTATATATACATATCTAGATAATAGATAAATATATGTATACCACTCTCTCTCTCTCTTTTTTTTAATTTTTTTATATTTTTTGAAGAACCGGACGTTGTGGGGGTGGGTAACATTTCTGAATACTTTAAGAATTACATTGAAGTGCCACTGGGAAAACTCAACAGACATCTATAACAGACTCACCTGATGCTAAAACTGCTTTTTGGATTGAGAGGTAAAGCTGGAGGAGGACTGGGATTGAACAATAGATGAAGTTTGACTTGGGACTGTAAAACCTTTTAATGCACATGTATGCAATAAAATACAGCAAAAATTGTTGTCAGCTGCCAAACAGAATTTAGATGGGAAAAGGTTCACGGTTGCATCGAAAGCACAAGTCTGACACCTAAAGGCCAATCCAGGGAAGTGAAAAAAAAAAAAAATTTCAACACACACACACACTCGCGCTCGTTCTTACACACGCACCCACACATGCACACATGCGCTGAGATTCCCGTCCCATGCCCTACTCCGTGTTTTGATAGGAAATCGGCCCACCCACCCTCAGCTTCGGTGTTTTTTCCCCCCAGACCCTCTTGAGTGCCTGTGCACTGTTGGCTGCTGAGGTGGGCGTGTCTTACAGGTGTTAGTCTTGCTAGTGGTGCTTTTTCTCAAATAGTCCCGTCTCCCCCCGCGGCAACACGTCAGTTTTGCCGAGAGGGACGTTCTCAGTCCCCGAGGATGCTCTTCACGAAGCTAGCGACGTCGGTGTCTTTGGAGTCATGGATGGTGAAAAAGGGATGTTGCTGGGTGTGGAAAAGATTTGAAACGTCAATATTGTGCCAAATGATGTGCTCACAGAAAAAAAGCTACATTTATGTATATTTCAATGCTTAGTAGTTTTCAAAAAAAAAAAAAAAA